GTTAATATTTTAATATCGGTCTATATAATATATGTAGTGCATTACAATTGCAAAATGTTCTTTACAATTAAAACTAAATTGTTCTTGTTTTACTTATATTTTTTATACATTAATTAACAATTGTTAAAATTTCCTTCACGACAAAAGAAACCACCACCTTCTCGCGGTTTTCGTCGAGCAACAATATGTACGTCGTATAAATTGTTTTTAAAATATAAACATATAAAATATATCATTTATTAAGTATAAATATAATGGGAATATCAATCTAAATGAAAAAGTGTGTTTTGTGTCATTTCAATTTTGGGTTTTATTTTTGCTAGGAAGCTTTACAGGTACTTCAGTATATTTTTCCATATATGTCTATAAAAACATCTATGTAAAAAATAAACGTACATATTAGCCAAGAGTGGTAAATTTATTATTTCATTTGTACGCAGTTTTTCGTACATATAAATTTTATGTATACATACATATAAATACAATTTTTAATTAATAAAGAAAAGTCAGAGAACGAGCCGGAAAATTTGGACATTTCTTGTACCGTTTACGACGTTATTGAGAGTTGAACGTCGTATCGCCCAAGCGAGAGCGAGACAGAAAATCATTTCTCTGTCTCTTTCTACTGCCCGATCGCACCCGAAGTTTCTTGCGCACACGTATACGATCTGAGGTGTGCGTATCTCCTCCATACTACCGCATGCTACCAAGTGCTTAGTATCTGGCATTTCTGGGCTCAGCCACTCGCGGCTCTGGCTGGGTGAGACCTTGTGACCGCGATACTCGTGGGAATTACATGGAAACTGACGAAAACAGAATCACCCCCAACACAGTCTCCAAGGGCAAAGCCTCCTCTGGAGGGAAACGCACAGAGAAATCTAATAATGCAGGAGCGGGCTCAAAAGCCTCAAAAGATCGCATAAGTTTTTAGCGGGGCCGCTAGGCGTCGTTAAAATAAGCAAATTTTGGCGGGGAGAGGTGGGGTAGCGCCATCAAGGCCCTCTCTTTCCCTACAGCATCCTGTTCAAAAGGTGGGGCTGGGGTTGGACGGGCTTCGGATGGCGCGGCAAAACGCGCCAGGCCGGAGCACGCTATTTCCAGCCCTTCAGAAAATCTCCAGGACAAGAGACCCAAAAATGAAGGGTCGTATGCACAGGCGACAAAAGATCTTGTCAGGATGGCCCTCGTACTGGAGGGCTATCCTGACAACAAAATAGGAGCCGGTGAGGTGGTTGAGATCAGAAAACTGATCAGGTCTGTCATCCTCGGCATGTCTGAGAATGACAAAGCCCCCACTTCCACTGGTTCCTGGTAGAGGGATGGCGCACTCATTGGTGTGTGCGCCAATAAAGAGTCAGCGGAGTGACTTAAGGCCCACTCCTCCTATTTAAAAGTCAGGGGAACTCCTCTGCGTGTGCTGCCGGTTGGTGAGCTACCTAAGCGTCATCGGGTGGTAGTGCATGTGGAGGAGCCTGAAGTAGGGGTTGAGGAGGCTTTAAAGCTCCTCAACCAACAAAAAACAGGGCTGGAAACCAGCGATTAGGTCGTCACCAAAGGGACGTATAGGAAAGATGCTACGAGCGCCCACTTCTCCTGGTTGGCGACTCGGCGATGGAAGCCTTGAAGCACTGTGGCTTCAGGTCTTTCTTTAGTCTTGGCTGGGGCACCGTTAAGATGGCGGGACGAGAACGCGGGGAGGCGACGGAAAAGGAAATGAAGTCGGAGGGTGTCGGGACTGCCTAAAAATGGCTTCTCTCGGCATCCAAATGACGCAGATTAACTTGCATCACAGCAAGAACGCTTCGGCTATCCTAGCCAGGAGCATGGCTGTGATGCATACAAGTATTGCACTAATCCAAGAACTATGGATTGTGAATGGTGCAGTAAAGTGTCTAAGTAGGTGCGGCTGTTTATACAAAGCACACCCAGAAAAAAGAGTAAGATCATGCATTTTGGTAAAAGGACTAAATGTTATCTTTCTGCCACAGCTCAGCAGCAAGGACCTTACAGTCATCAATGTGAGAATGAAGCTGGCCGAGGAAGAGGACATGGAAGTATTAATAGGGTCAGTTTATATGCCCTATGACTCTACGGATCCACCACCACATGAAGAGGTAAAAAACCTGGTGGCCTATGCGGAGGCCAGAGGGCTCGAACTCCTGCTGGGTTGCGATGCGAACTCCCACCATGTAAGATGGGGAAGCACAGACACCAACCTGCGGGGGGAGAGTCTGCAGGACTACTTAATGGGCACAGGATTAACCATTCTCAACAGAGGAAACGAGCCGACATTTCTGGACTCCAGAAAACAGGAAGTCATCCGAGATATTACAGTATGTACAGAGAGGATGGCGAGTTTGGTGAGAGACTGGAGGGTATCGAATGAGCCCTCTGAGTCGGACCACAGACATATACGCCTAACTCTTCAACAAATACCGCAAATCAGTTGGGTTTGCAACCTACGAAAAACATACTGGGAAGGCTTTAGGGCTGACCGTAAAGCCCAGCTTTCTGTGGCCCCAACCAATTTCAGAACCAAAAACAACTTGGAAAACGCGGCGGACTTTTTAAAGAACGCCATTACAACCGCCTTTGAATTAAACTACTCATCAAAACTCAGGAATCCGGTGAACAAGATCCACTGGTAGAATAAAGAGCTCGGTAAGCTCAGGCTGGAAACAAGAAATAAATTCAGCAAGGCAAAAACGGGTGGTACTCTATTGACCACAGTACGATTCGACACCGCTCGATTCGACACAGATTTATTCGACACCAAATTATTCGAC